GCAAACGCTGAAGTCCTGACGCTTGTAGAAACCAAAGTGCTGCTAGAAAGAGCGGGGTGGACTGCAGTGCCAGTGACAGTGACAGACTATTCTGCTGGTATGGAAAAGAGCAAGCTGCAGAATGCAACTTCCTACCTGCTTGGACTGAACTACTGTGAAAGCAGCACGCACTAGGGGCTCCACAAAGTGAGGGTGAATGATGGGGAGTCCGGGGAAATCTCCACTCCCTGCCCTGCGGCCTGGGGACGTCCGCAGGATGCAAAGAGAAGCGGCCTGGCTCTGTAAGGGCCCTGCCGGGGCTGCAGAGCCAGAGTCCAGGCAAGAGAAAGCGCCGATAAGCCCGGATGAGCGGCTCTCTCCACAATGATCGGCTACCATCTTCGAAGGAGGCAAGGAAACAGTCCAGGACGCAGAGAAACTTTCCTAGACACAAGGAGACTAAAGAGACAGGACGACCAGCTGCACACAGGGTTCCGAACTGGAAACCTTTCCAACACGGAACATTACTGGGACAACTGGCTAAACAAGAAATAGGCCTGTATTCAATTGTCTGATGGTGGTGGTGGTGGTGTGCGTGAGACTGAACCCAGGACCATCTCACTGAGCTCATCCCTGGCCCTTTTCTATTTTTTGAGACCGAGTCTAACCATCTTCCTGCCTCAGCTTCCCAGAATGCTGGACTCACAGGCATGCACCATCATACTCAGCCTGTATTTATTTTCTATTGCTATGTACTACAAATTTAACCCATTTATGTTGAAGGTCTCAATTTTTAAAAATTTTTCATGAAATTCATGTTACCTGGAAAAATTCAAGGAACAAGAATTTAAAGAGAAAAAATTTCATTATGCTCCACTGTAATGGGCACCCCAAAATGGAACACTCAGAACTAAAGCATTAATGGCTTGGAAAACGTGCCCATTTATTATCTCACAGTTCAACGTTAGGCGTTAACATTCAAAGTTAAGCAGACACAGCTGAGTTCTGTGTGCACGTCCAGGGTAACATCACATGTTGGTGGGATTGTTCATCACCCAGAGGCTGAGAGAAGAACGTGCTTTTAAGCTCATTCAGGTCAGTGACAAAACCCAGTCCTGGCTCTAATACTACGTTTATCGGCTTTCTGTTGCTGGAACAAAATGCCTGACGTATGCAGCTTAAGGGGTTTATTTTGGCTGATGGCGTCAGTTTCAGTTCATGGTCAGCTGGCCCCAAGACAAACATGACAGCACAAGGGTGTAACGGAAGAAAACTGCTCATCTCATGCAGCAAGATAGCACAGAGGTTCGGAAAGGGCCAGGGAGCAAGTGTGGCCCCCAAGGTCACACCCTCATGACGCACACAGACACACTCAGAAGTGTGCTTTACCAGTCTCCCAAGTACCTCACAAGCCAATCGTGTTACCACTCTTTTTTTTGTGTGTGTTTTTCATTTTTATCAGTACCGGGGATCGAACTCACGACTGCCTGCTTGCAAGGCAGGCGCTTATGCCGCTGAGCTAAATCCCCAGCCCCACTCTTACCGACTCACCCAGAAACCATTTACTCGACTGAAGACTGGACAGTACTGTACCACTGAGAGACGCGCTGTGATAGTCACAGTGTAGTCGCACAGGAGGGTGGACTCCCTCGCACGACTCACTAGGCTACTTGAGACGAGGGACCATCAGATGAGCAATTCATTCTCATATGATTCAGTAAAAAGTAGATTCTGTGTAGTGTTCTTCAGACTTTTCTGTAGATATGCGTGGAAACAGAATAAAAGGGCAGACACGTATTGGTACCTGTGTTTATGTACACAAAGAAAAATATCTAGAAAAAGTCTAGAAAAACCCAGGCATGGTGGTGCACACCTGTAATCCCAGCACTCTGGGAAGTTGAGGCAAGAGGATCATAAGATCCAGCTCCGCCTGGGCAATTTAGTGAGATCCTGTTTCAAACAAAACAAAAAGAGCTGGAGGTATAGCTCAGTGTGAAGGTCCTGAGTTCAATCCCCTGTAAATCTAGAAAATAATTACAAAAGTTAACTGTGATTAGCTCTGGAAAGTAGAATTGAGGGGAGCGACAACTGTCATTTTGGAGTTTATAGATAATCAGATATTTTTTATACTTATTGAACCTATAAAATAAAAGCCAGGAAAAGATGTTTGAAAAGGACAGTGGGAGACAAGGGCTGGCTTCTCAGCACAGAGCACACAGATGAGGGAGGGGGCATGAGCTGAGCCGAGACAAGCGACACGTGACATCTTTACTCCTGCGGTTACAGGCCTTGCACGGAGCTGCTGAGAAATCGCACTCACCAGAGAGCCTGTCCCGAGGTGAGGGCTGGGCGACGGCCAGGAGAGAGGCAGAGCACACTCCCCAGAGCTCCCCGCCCCGCTTTCACCCCCTCCACCGTGGCACCCCAGGTTAGATGTCTGCTGTCTGCTGTCTGATGTCACCGGGCCCTTGAAAACTTGTCTGCAAATGGCATCAAGTCACCGACACAGTCAAGCCAGAGGCAGTGATACATCTCCTGTCATGGACCATTGTATCTCCTCGATATGCTGAAGTCCCAATCCCTATTTTCTCAAAAAATTGGTATTTGGGGGCAGCGTCTTTACAGCAGTAACCAAGTTAAAGTGGGGTCATTAGGATGGGACCTAATGTATCTGATTCATGTCTTTATAAAAAGGTAAACTAAGGTACACAGGGATGTAGCAATGTGAAGACAGCATCGATACTCAAGGGGGTGGCCTGGAACAGGCCTTTCCTACACCCTCAGAAGGCTCCAACCCTGCAGCCATCTGGACCTCAGACTTCTAACCTGCAGAAGTGTGTGGCAATACGTTTCTGTGGTGTGAGCCTCCTAGCTCACACTACTTTGTTAGGGAAACCCTGGCAAATTAATACCTCTACCAAAGCCATTAAGCTTTCTGTGGCCACAGACTCACTATTAAACCGGAAAGAGGCCATTTCAGAGACCTCTCCGACCCAAAACAACTGTGGCTCTGACCCTAGGATGGTACCTACCTGATAGGGCAGTGACACTCACATGCGTGCCTTACCAGCGTGTGTACCAGCCCTGAGGGTCTGCTGCCCCTTCCCACGCCTTTCCTTTACTATGAGAGGAAGAAACTAAAGCCAACATCCCTTTCCCTCTCCTTGTGTCCACCCCATTCCTCCACTACATTCTCCTTGAATAGAGAGCTCACCCTGGGAGAGCCATTTGGCACAAGCTGTGTGGTCAGACCTCTGGTCAAGTCCAGCTCAGCAGCCTCCAAGTCTGCCTGGCAGTGTCACAGGACAGTCAGTCACCTTTCTGCCCCATTTCCTGTAAGTAGGGAATACCGAGGCTGGGACCACAGTGGCTGGGCCACTGCTTCGTGGCTATCAGCTGCTCTCATCAGGCTCTTTCATAGCGTAGCTGCGCAGGGGCACAACCGTGCACCAGGGACGTGGAGCAGAGGTGCCGGCTGCTGCCCGCACTGCAGGAAAGGGGAGCTGCAAACGCTCAGTTGCCTCTGTTAAAATGTAAAACACAACAGCACCTTGGTGCTGTTATGATAGCTCTTTACTCAACCCAAGCAAAGGTACAAATACAGGTACAAGGATGTCCCCTGGTACTTCATGATACAGAAACACTGGGGACCACCCAAGCCATCACAGGAGGGGACTGGCAGAGCCAGGCATGGTGGTGCACGCTTGTGATATGTGCATTTGGAAAGCTGAGGCAGGAAGATCTCAAGTTCAAGGCCAGCCTGGGGTACACAGTGGGAGTACAAGGGGCTGCCTAAGTATATGCCACTGGCCAGAACAGCAGACTAACACGAACCAGCACAAAAATGCCTGTCTTATTGCAGAAGAAAAGGAGCCACAGAACCATCTTTGTGCTATGTGGAAAAATATAAAGTAACTATAAAAATAGAAAACAGTAAACATCCCAAGCCTAGGACTAAGTACAAAAAAAAGCTATATGCATACGTATTTATGAGTGTGTATATACGAAATGAATGTTTTTATGCATAGAAAAAAGTCTGGGAGGATCTATAACCAAAAAGTAGTTACTTTTGGGGCAGCCCACTCGGATCCCCTCTGTCTCTCTCTCAGACAGAAGCTTTCTTCCTCTTCACAAATATATTCTACTCTTAACCTCCATTGTTCCTAAAATTCATTCTTTGATTTTAGAGAACACAAATTCATAGCAGACATAGAGCAGTTGGAAGCTTCATTCCCCTGTATCATTTGGAGGTCTCCCACCAAGATCCTTGGGCAGAGACCTGGCACCATGCAACTTCTGACTCATCCTCAAAACTGACTGCAAAAGACAAGCAAACTAAGACTTTAAGTAACTTCCCAGGAACAGACAGCTACTATGTGGCCTAGCTAGAGTCAAGAGCTGAACTTCTGTGCTAAGTCACAAGAATCCCGAGGTCCTGTGAAAACCCTAAACTACACATGCAAAGCAGAGATCGGCTCTCATCCAAAGTTCCAAGAATACCATAGAGGACTTCTGCCACCTACCCCCGTCCTGTCCCCTCTTCTGCGGACACCTGTGCTGAAAATCCCAGCTGCCTCTACACTGTGTTTAACTTCTGCCTTCTGAGCTCGGTAAGACTGACGACCTTTCCTAAAGTGCTCCCAGATACGAAATGAAGTCGAATGTGGTTCCTGCCTCACCTAAGACCCTACTCCCACGCTGCCTTCCTCCCAGTGCTAAAACTAGTCACCTCAACATACTTTGTTGGGTCTCACAGTGGAAGGATAATACAGTAACTACTCTGCTGTGGCCTGGAAATGAGACTGTAAGGGGAAAAAAAGTAGTTACTGCTGGAGAGTGAAATTAGGAGAGACAGAAATTCACACTTTAGGAGTATCATTACTATTTCAATGGTCAAAAAGAATGCATACCAATTTTATAATTTAAAAAAATGAGGTCAGTATGCATAGGAGACACACACCAAAGCATTTGGGGTAAAGGATCATAGTACTTGTAACTCAGCTTCAAATGCACCAGCAACAATAGGTAACAAATATATATTTTATCTACATCACATGATACAGAGGACAGACACTGAGAAAGCAGCTGTGGAAAACGCAACCAGCATATCAAAGTGAAAGTATGTGGAATTTCTCCGAGCTAGTCTTACAACTTATGTCTGTATTTGAAATATCTTCAAAATAAAATTAAAATCTTAATAAAGTCCAGATGGCAGTCAGATTGTGGGAGGCCACTGCAGGGCCAAGGAACACAGATCTCAAAGGACCTGCAGGGTCTGAGCGAAACCCTGGCCCTCCAGAAAGGGGTTAAACCCAGTTTTAAATGGCTTTATTTCTTCCAGGGTCCTTACAATGGTGAAGGAACCCAGGATCTGGATCCAGAAAGAACTGTGAACATCGCTTATGGTCTGATCAAGTGACGGAAGAAAGCCTCCATTGATGCTGGCAACCCCCTCGATCGGCCCCCAGTCCAGCCACGCCTGTTTGGGGGTGCAGCTTGAGGCAGAGCCCTCCGCTCCTGACCCAGCAACACGGCTCGCCTGAGTTCCTGGGAAGGTTCCAGACCCGACTACCGGAAGACGATGTCCTCACCTCTGATGATCCGCTCCAATGGCATCTGTGACTCTGCTAAAACCCTGCTCTCTGGAAAGAGAGAAAGCAAAGAGTTCCAGCAAAGATAGAGACAGAGCCTGCTCATCCAGGAACCCCAAGTTCACTCAAACACACGCACCACCCTCTCAAGTGGCCTCCCCACCCCAGAACACAGCATGCCCTCTCCCACGTCCACCCAGCTCTGCAGAGGAAGGGACCAAGTCTCGGTACGAACTGCTCCCTGACATAGAGTCGGCATGACTTAATTAACTGCTCCACTCCTCCAGGATCCCTCAGGCCACTGACCCCTGAATGAATGGACAGCCCTGCCTGTCCACACTACAGCCTGGGGTTTAATTCTGTACTCCCTCAGGACTTCTTATTCTTTGTCACAGGGTAACCAAGTCTCTCCCCTCTGCACTTAAGGTAACCCTCCCTTTCTTTCTGAGTGAGCAATAGAGTGATGAACAGCATCCCTCTGACTTCTGCTGCAAGCCCCACATGCCCCACTCACTTCAAGAGGGCCTCCAGCTCCCGCTTGACCCTGCCCACCACGGGCGGCCCCCCGTAGGTGAGAGCTGTGTACAGCTGCACCAGCGAAGCCCCCGCCTGGATCTTCTCCAGCGCATCCTGCCCGCTGCTCACACCGCCAACCCCGATGATGGGGATTCTACCTGCAGAGACACAGAGCAGCACCATGAAGGTACCATAAGACCCGAGACCTTGGTCTGGCTTCGGCCTCACAGCAACCCAGAAGATGAGGGAAGAGTGAATGCCCCTGCCAGCCAGGAGTCTGAGCCACGCACAGGGGAAGACACAGACAGCAGAGGCCTTGCCTTGGGTCAGTGCATACATCTCTCGGATGGTCTCAGTTGATAAACTGCGGAGGGGCCTCCCGCTCAGCCCTCCTGTCTCAGAGCGCAGGGCACCCTGAAGGCCATCAGGGCGACTCACTGTAGTGTTCGTCACAATCAATCCATCGATGCCCAACTGCAGCGGGAGACAGAAAGAGCTCTGAGGGACACAGAGGAGCTTCTTGAGAAGTCTGAGGCAGCCTCCAGGACAGGGCCACAGATACAGCCCCCGAGCAAGAGCTACCCAGGCCTCACTTCTCATTTTGAACAAGTGTCAGAATGAGCCTCTGTGTGACACAGTAGCCATCACACACCGCCACCCACGACATTCTGCAAGAAGAGTGTTTGAGTCTTAAAACAATCTGCTTTAACAGTGTCTTGCTGAGGGCCCCAGGTAATAATAAATGGAAGAAACAGTATTTTGAACCCAGGGAGCTGGGCGTGGCATTGCACTCTGGTAATCCCAGCACTCGGGAGGCAGGAGGATCACTGCAAATTTGAGGCCAACCTGGGCTACACAGTGAGCTCGAGGCCAGCCTGAACTACCTTGCAAGACGGTGTCTCAAATAGGAAAGAAAGAGAGAGAGAGAAAGAAACAATTGAATCCAGGCCTGAAGAGCCCAGTGTGTTTCCACTATTCTCCAGCAGAGGCCTGCTGTGCAGATCAGCTAGAGATAGGGAGACTTGACAATACCCAGGCTCAGCTGAGGCTGGCCAGAGACACAGCACAAGCTGTAAATCTCTTGCTGAACACCAGCAAAGGGGGAGACAGAGGCTTGGAAAAAGACTTCAAACATCGACTCAGTCGCTTTTTACCATGGATGAATTAGGTGATGAAGGACACCCAACCAGCCTCTGCAGTCACAGAGAAGGTCACTAATCATGCTGTTCAGGGCCAACCCTGTGGGCCAGATGGATAATGAAAGGCACCCCATGCCTGGGCTGGCCCCAGTCGGACCTCTCTCACCACACCAGCGATGTCCTCCTTGTCCTGGGCTGTGAGGTCAGGGGCGATCTTCACCAGCACCGCCGGCTTCTGCGCTCTCTGCAAGGCGTCCCTCTCCTGCAGCACCTAAGACAACACAAATGGGGACCACCGGGTCATCACCTAGCAGCACAGCTGAGACCGGACGCTGCAGCCAGTGCTTCATACAGCCTCATACTAAGGCCTGATCGATTTCCTCTCCTCAGGGACCAATGCTCAGGTACGAATCTGGTTCTGTTCTTCATCAGGTATCCACTGGGATCAGCTAATGTAAAGATCCTGACTCTTTTGTTTTATTTTTTGAGTCAGGGTCTCACTATGTAGCCCAAGTGGGCCTCAAACTCCAGCAATTCCCTTGCCTTAGCCCCCGCAAGTGCTAGGATTATAGGCGTGTATCACCATGCCTGGCAGGATTCTGACTTTTATTCCTAAAGACCCTAGGGCTATTACAAGCCCTGTGTGATGAAAAGCCACTCAATTCTGTACCGTGCCAGGATCTAGGCACAGAGAAGTAAACAAGACAGATGTGCCCCGTTCTCATGGACCTTACAGCTTAACAGCAGGGACAGACAACTGAGCAAGTAATTCCTACTGCACACAATCAGCGCTGTGCGAGGGCTCAAAGGGTGCTTCGCTTGGGAAGGCACAGCGAGGGCTCCTAACTGGTTCAAGTAGGAGGGACAGCTTCTCCCTGGGGACATCCAAGCTGTGCCCCAGAGAAGGAACACGCTGGGGAGTGAACAGGCTGGAGGAATAGGACACAGAGAAGGTGTAAGGCCCACCTTGGTCAGCAGGCGGCGCAGCTCAGCCTTTCCTTGCAGGGAGCGCAGCCCGGGGGTGTTGGGACTGGACACATTCACCACCAGGTAGTCAGCCAGGGGGCCCAGGACCCGAATCCCCTCTGCGTAGTCCGCGGCAGCATCCACCGACGTTTTATTCTTCCCCAGGTTTATTCCCAGCGGCAGCCCATCTGTAAAGAGCACTTATCAGATTCCGCCCCACACCACTTCCGGTGCAACTTTCTAAGGGCCGCTTCTGCCTCAGCAGCTGTGAACTTTCTACAGCTGATGACTGCCGTACCGTGCCCCCTCTGAGGCCAAAACACAGCTCTCATCTTTCTATGGCAAAGTATGAGCAACTATAAGGATGTTTTAATGCACTCTACCCTTCTCAATTTTTTTAACCTTTTCAATTTTTAAAAATTAAATGGAAAAATCAGGAATGCAGATACTTGATTTTAAAAAGCGGGAGTTGGGGCTGGGAATTTAGCTCAGCGGCATAAGCGCCTGCCTTGCAAGTGTGCGGTCGTGAGTTTGATCCCTGGTACCGATAAAAAACGAAAAAGACAAAAAAAAAAAAGTGTGTGTACACTTTAGGAAAAAGCGGGGGTTGGAGTATGGTCCAGGGGTAGAGAGTGTGCTTGTTAGCCTGAATGAGGCTCTAAGTTTGAGCCCCTGCCTTAAAAAAAAAAAAAAAAAGCAGATGTCGTAAATCTACTAAAAGTGAAAGGAGACTGTCCTGCCTGCATCCCAGATCACTCGCAGGAGGCAACCTGAATCTCAAAGGGTGCATACGGGTCTAGGCTGGGTGTGCAATGGTGAAAATAAAGTAAAAAGTAAAGAAAAAGTACAAAATACTGGAAAGTATTTCCAAAGATCGTGACTAAAATATACACGAATAGTTGTTTATTTATTAGCACATGTGTGCACACATCATGTTTGTGCTTCTTGGGAGAAGTCAGTGCATACACACATCTCAGTTGCTTTTTCATCTTCTGCCTTTCCCTGCCTCCTCCATCCTTTAATCCCTCCTTCTCCCCTTTCTTTTTAAAACTATACTTATTTTATAATTTATAATTTCAGTTCTGTGAAAAAAAGGGACACCTCTTTTAAGTCAGGATAGCACTGGCTACCCCTGCGCTCTGAGCATAACTATTCCCGTTCCTCTCTCAGAAGTGTCCAAACCATTTGCACCATCAGTGACACAAATAACAGATACTTTCCTTAAAAGTACATGACTATCAACTGACTTGAATTTTGAGCCTCTAAAATAATATTAAAATAACATATTTTACGTGGGTATGATAGTGCACACCTGTAATCCCAGCACTTTGGAGGCCGAGGCAGGAGGATCACCATGAGTTCAAGGCTAACCTGACCTACAGAGCAAGACCCCGTCTCAAAAATAAATAAATAAATAAATAAATAAATAATACATTTTCAGAAACATGCTATGCAAGAAAGGAGCTGTCTGTATGTGGCTGCTCCTGAGATACTATCCTATCTGCAAAGGCCAAGGGCACATCGGTGGTACAGCTGCTACCTCTAACCAATGATTGGAAATAGACCTAGAATACCAAGTTTATGGTTGGTCCCCCAAGCCTCATGCAGTCATGGAAGCAGCTGAGTCTAGTGTTTGTGATTGGTTTGTTGTCCAGCACCGAGCTTGGCTGTGTGAGCACTGTACCCGCCCAGGGGCCAGGATGTAGCATACAATGTAAGAGAGGGAAGGAGGTATGCTTTTTTTTTTTATTTTATTTTTTATTTTTTGCTGCTTGCAGCCGCCATGAACAGCTGACATTTAGCCATAGCTACCCTGCCTTGCAGCCAGCTGAATATGGACTAAAACTTCCAAAAACTGTAAGATAAATAAACCTTTCCTTCCTTCACTTTGTCAGCTATTTTGTCTCAACAATGAGAAAAGTAACCAAGACACCAAATAATTCCATAGCACGTCAGGCCAGTGACAATCAGAGAACATCCAGTTCCATAGCCCTCTTCCACACAGCCTGAATCACACTTTTTTTTCTTTTGTTTTTTGAGAAAGGGCGACAAGGTCTCACTATGTAGTGTAGGCTGGCCCTGAACTTACTATGTAACCTAGACTAGCGATCCTTCTGCTTTAGCCTCCCCAGCACTAGAATTACAGGCACACACCACCACACCTGGCTATTAGTTTTAAAGGAGGACGGATTTGTGCTGCTAATTTCCTGCCGAGGGTTAAGGGGGACTGGAATCCAGTCAGGCTAAGTTGTACAGCAAGGTCTCCACAATTCCCACATCTAGCACCCATCAATCACGGTCATGATCAGCTCCCATCCTGCACCATGCAGACTTTCATGTGGCAACTAAAGCTTTCATTAGTGATCATCTGCCCAAGATGGGCAACAAGATTCTAGAGTTAGGTGCTGCTGTGTTACTCTTCCCCAAATGTCACTTCGTCACCTCGTGCTTCTTGGCACGGTGCTAAGAGGCTCCCGGCTGCTGGCAGACACCCATGTACAGAGCACAGCTGCAGGACTCTGGCCCTCTCCAATGAACGTGAAGGCAGACTGCGGGTGGGGCCAGGGATTTAGCTCAGCGGCCTAAGCGCCTGCCTGGCAAGCACAAGGTCGTGAGTTCAATCCCCAGTACCAAAAAAAGAAAAAAAAAAGACAGACTGGAGGTGAGAGGGGTGTCAGGGAGGGCTAGGGATACCGCTGGTACACAGGGACCTGTGGACACCGAAAAGGCATGAGGCTGGAGAGCCTCGTACACCACAGAAGTCATACCATGTCCTTTAAAGTCCCCGGATGGGAAGGTCTCCTCAGAGCAGGGTCTGCGTCTCCCAAAGACAGGTGTTTCCCAACAGGGCCAATTCTGAAATTGTTACAGGCCGCAGCCCTTTCTACCTCACTTCCTGAACAAATGCAAGAGTTACAGGCTTCCTCATCCTGCTCCCAGATCTCCCAGTACTGAGGCCTACAGAGGAAGACTCTCCTGGGCTGTGGCTCCCCACGGGGCCCTTGGGGAGCCGTGGTCAGAGTGACAACAAAGCAGAGCCTCAGGGAACAAACGTAAGGGTCGCCAAGGCAGCCTTCAGAAGCACACGCGGTTTCTGGAGGTCCTGCAGGGTACTTCCAAATCCCAGACAGGGAAGACCAACTTGACTTTTCCTTTGTGTGTGTGTGCTCCAGGAGGGGTTGGTGGTGGTGGTGATGGCGGTACCAGAGATTGAACCCCAGGCCTTCACACTGAGCTACATCCCATCCTTTTATTTATGTATTTATTTATTTATTTTTAATTTTGAGGCAGGGACTCACTAAGTTGATAAGTTGTCCCGGGTGGGCTGGAACTTGCAATCCTCCTGCCTCGGCCTCCCAGAATGATGGCATTATAAGTGTAAGCCATTGTGCCCAACTCAACTTCTTCTCTAGCCTATTAGGTGCCTACTAACTCTTCTAGAATAATAGATGTTATTTACACGATGGACAAAGGGCAGAAGGACAGGACAAGAAAAGATGACACCTGGCTCCCACTCACACCCCACCTGTCCACCAGGATGTAGACGAGCTCTCTGCTTTGCTTAAATCCAAGCTTCCCTACTTATAACACAGTGCGGCTTACATGCAAGGCCTTGCTCAAATGCAAGATTCTGTTAGAATCCTGGAGATGGTGACGGAACAGGGAAAAGAGCCTGAGGCTCCCAGTGGCCTCTTCCGACTGCTCAGCGGTGTTTCTTTCCCAGTGTTTCACCACCTTTCCTCTACTGGCCGCAGAAAGCCCACCCCAGGCTCCCCTTTACCTGCCGTGAGCCTGGTCTGCCTCTGCTGCCTGGCCCGTAACCTGCGCTCCACCGCCAAGAGCCCCTGGCTGTTGAATCCGCACCTGGGCACACAAGCCAGAGGGAGGGCGAGATTAGAAGGCCGCAGTCTGGAAACAGCACCACAGCCACTTCCACCAGACTCACAGATTTGAAAAACAAGCAAAAGTCGTTTCTTTGACCTCCAAGATCTAAACATTGCTGGGAACTTGTCAGCATACCTTTCAGCATAAAGAGAAAGAATAAAATGTGTAAGCCAGCTGCTGGCCAGCGGATGCTGGAAACAACCCAGCAGGATGACGGTGCCCCTTGCCTGGCGGTGCCTGCTCCAAGGTGCTGTCTGGGAAGCTCACAGCTTCTACCTCTTTAGGGTGCCACACACTCCTCCTGGGGGCCACCCCGCCACCCCATTTCCCCAGCCTTTCTGCCTATTAAAATCATCCCTTCTTCCCAGCCTGGCTCAGTTGCTCCTCTCCTCCTCCTCCCCCTCCTCCTCATGTAAGCTCCAGTCACAGCAGATCCTCATCCCGTGACATCCAGAGCCCCCTGTACCCAGCTTTCCCCTGGCTCAGAATCTACCAACATGCTTACATTCCTATGGGGGGTTAGAATCTTCTTGAAGACCAGAGTCCGGTCTTACCACTGGACACCCACAAAGGCAGGGACTTCATCTCTCTTCCCTGTCTTCCCCAGATCTCCCGTAGGTTGGTGACCTAGTGACACCCCCTTCCTGTTCATTTGTTGGAAAAATGTTGATGACTCAAAGCTTCCCAGGTCTTGCTAACAACCGAAGCATGATATGGAACCAGGTGTGGCCACTAAGATGTGGGTGACGTGGACTAGTTTCTGAGAAGTGCACCCCTCCTGCCCTTTTCCCTTTCTGCTCTTGGATGTCCACATGAGGATGCAGTGCTTGCAGATGGGATGGCCATCCTGCAAACAGCAACGGAAGACAGAAGCTGGCAGTCCTGCCTCATGGCCACCGAACTGCCCACTCAACATTATGAGAAGAAAATAAAAAGAAAAGCCTGCCGTCTGAGCCCCTCTGTTACTTGCAGCCAGGAGCAGCGGAACAGGTGAAGTGGCAGACGAGTTTGGTATTAGTAGCGTATTTATTCAGCGCCTACCACACGGCACTTGGAACAAGGAGACTGAACACTCCAAGTGCCCAAGAGCAAAGCTCTCTGTCCCATACCACTCATCTAAAAGATCCTGTCCCTGAAACTGGACAGAAGCTGCAGCAGAAGTGCTATGTCAGTCTCCCAGAACGTCACTGTCACTGCCAGCCCCAAAGACACCTGCCAGCACCTCCCCAAAGAGGCCCTCCAACCCTGTGATCAAAAACTAGGAACTTCTTCACCTTCTGGGTTTGCTGTAATAAAAAAATCACCCAAGATGATAAAAAATAAGTTTTATACCACCTAGAAGGTCTTCTCTTCCTAAAAGCAGCAGTATACATTGAATAGTAGATTCTCCCATTTATTATTGGACAGCAAGGGCTGCTGGCCACATATGCTTCTCAGCCCTCAAAGTGTGGCTGGTCCACCTCGAAGGCCTGGAAGTGAAGGGCACCCCAGCGTCGTAAACTGTGAAGTGCAACAAGCTGCAGCTGTGCCCAAGCTCCCCAAATATCATCCCTGTGACTGCAACACAGGTACATAGCTCTCCAAGCTTCAGTGCACCTACGGGTTAAACTGAATTAGCAACACCTGCTTTCCCAGGGACGCAGGAGAATCCTTGCCTGGCACCCAGTAGATGCTCAGTGGAGTTCACAAACATTCCAAGTAACAGAAAAGTGTTCACATCCTAGAGAGGGAACACCAAGGTCTGACAGCCCAGCAGGGCTCACACCGGGCCATGACCCACCTGTTAATGACAGCTTTGTCCTCGGGGAGGCGGAAGATTCTGGGCCTGGGGTTTCCTTCTTGAGGCTGGGGAGTCACGCTTCCTACCTCAACAAAGCCAAAACCCAGCTTAAAAAGGCCATCCACAGCTTCTCCGTGCTTGTCAAATCCTGCAGCAATTCCCACTGGGTTTCGGAACTTATGGCCCAAGACGTTCACTTGCTGGGAAGAAGGAGACAAAGTCAGGTACACGGAGCTGTAGTGCAGTTTCTCAAAGCGTGGTTTCCAGCGTGTGACCTCAGGACTCCCTGGGAGCTGGCTAACCATCCCACGTGTACAGGCTCAGAATCTATTTGGCGCCGTGCTCTCCAGGTGGGGCTAAGGCCTGCTGGGATCTGAAATCAGAGTGAGAGGAAACTCCCCTTTCCCCCACGGGGTGAACAGAAGCAGGCACTGTGTTCTGCAATTGTGATAAGAATCGGAGCTTTCGGTCCACCAGCGTAGGCAGCTGAGAGGCTCACTGGTTCCAGCCCTTAGGGCATGAAACCCTGAAGCCAGGGAGCAGCAAGACGCACTAATCAGCCCCATCTGAGGAACACACCGCTCCAGCTGGGGCTCTGGGGCTACGAGCCCAGACAGTCCTCCCCAGGCAACATGGGGAGCAGGAGGAAGGGCGGCTCGGCCAGGCAGGGTGCAGGACTGGCTCCAGCAGCCTCAGGGAAGATGAGGGGCATCTTCTAGAGTTCAGCCACCTGCCCTGAAAGCAGGAGGCGGGGAAGGCACTTCAAGAGGGAGCCCCACAGTGAAGGTGAGTGTGTGTGTGAGAGGCGGGAGGGCGCTGCCCTCACCCCCTCCTTAAGGGGACCCTAGGTGGCTTTCAGGGTGGCCTCAGACATTAGGGTTAAACTGGTCTGGCAGGAGGCAGAGCATTTGCTGCTCCAAAAGTTTGAATCATGGGAGATTCAAACCACAGCCAAGGTGGTGAACCAAGGATTTAGGGATGTGGTGGAAAGCTCAAGCTAGAAAGGCGAGCTGGGGGGAACATCAAGAGCCCTGGCTGTCAGTTAAGGGGGTGGGAATGCTGGTCTGAGCCTGGCTGGCGTCCCACCTACTCAGGAGGCTGAGGTAGGAGGTTTGCTTGAGCCCAGGAGTTATTTGTTTTGTTTTTGTGGTGCTGGGGACCGAACACAGGGCCTTACACTTGTAAGGCAAGAGCTCTACCATTTAGCCACATCCCCAGTCCAGGAGTCTGACACCAGCTTTGGTAACATAACAAAACCACACCTCCAAAACCGGTGAGGCCACCATCTACAGGAGCAGCTACAGGTGTGGACCATGCAGTTGTGTGCAGGGCACACAACAGGTGACCTTACTGCTCAAAATTGGTGGGGCTGGGGTATGAAAAGGATCCTCAGGTGTGGTCGGGAGCAGACACTGCAGCAAAGAGCCCTTTAATTCAGATCTTTTAATCCCAAGGAAGTCTGAGTGCTGCTTGCTCCATTTTCATGTTTGTCATCCTGCCATCCCCTGTAAGCAGTGTCCCAAAAGGAAACTGCCAGGTCTTGTGTGTGCACCCAGATCCTGAGAGGACATGCATCTTCTGTTTGGTTCATGAGTCACCAGCAGTGGCAGTCCGTGAGGCCACGAGTGTGCAGCGTGTGGCTGACTTAGACGCGGCTGAGCCTGGTGACACACAGCTGCCTCCCCACAATGTCCCCCACTTTGGGCACAGGAGAGCACGGAGCCTCCTGTGACCTCAGGAGGGCAAGACAGTGGCCTAGGCTGGATGCCAGAGCCAGACTCCCTGAGGGGGAGTCCTGTTCCATCACTTCCTAGCTGTGTGACTGGGCGAATCACTGTATTATTGTGCCTCCTAATTTGTAGACGGGGATCATTTAGGACCCACTTCATGGAGTTGCTGTGAGGATGAAGGATAAAGTCCATGAGGGTTATATAGTTGCTAATATGTTACTATGAGTCATATGTAATAACTGCTCAGATTGAGCTCCAGATTCCCTCCGCTAACCTAAGACTCTGGTTTTCAAAAGGTCAGTCCCAGCTGAGAACTGTTAGAGGACTTGACCTTTGCCATGGTTCCAAGAGGACCTACCAGCATGTCAGAGTCCTGAAAGGTGGGTCGAGGAAGGAGCCCCAGGGAGGTGACACGAACAGCCAGCCTGTGAGCTGACTCCCCATCCAGCAGCCCCTGCAGAGCTGGCATCAAGTATTCGGCATAGAAATGCTCATCCCCTGTGGCTGTCAGGTAGGAGGCAAAGAGAAGTCCTCCACCCCCCAGAATGACCACAGCATCCAGGGCCCGCTTCTGAAAAAAAAAAAAAGAGCCTGTTAGGAGCCCCACCAGGCCAGGCTGTAGCACCAGCCCAAGCTCCTTGCATCTAGGTGCAGACAGACTAAAGGACCTGCCATACAAGGTGACACAGCCCCACTTCGGCTGCCAATCAACTCCATTTCCAGTCCCACTCACACTGCGGCCTGGACAGAGGCTGTGTCTACACTGCTTGCCCTGGGTCTGCAGAGAAGGGAAGACTTTCTTTACATTGCCAAGGTTTTCAAGAGAGGAAGTACTGGCCCTAGATGACATGGGGGATTTTTACTGGTCACAGTGACCAACAAAATAATGCTAACAGATTTAATGTGCAAGATTAAGTAGTCAGATGTTTTTCTTTGCTTAAGGATTCAGACAACACAGCTGAATTGTTCCATGTCTTCCAAGATCTTTGAACATGCTGTCATTAATGTGGGTAGAAAATAGTCTGTTTAATTATCTGAGTCAAAAGGCAAACTATATTTCACCACATATGACTTTTCACGTTGTTTTCATACACAGACTGTCCCAAGAACAGTTATTGCCAGGTATGGTAGCAAATGCCTGTAATCCCAGCACTTGGGAGGCTGAGGCAGGAGAATCACTTTGAGTTCAAGGCCAGCCTGAACTACATAGCAAGACCCTATCTCAAAAAAAAAAAAAAAAAAAAAAAAAAACCACTTGCTAAGCTCAAAGATGGGCAAAGAGACCCGGTCCCTGCCCTTATAATGAATGCAATCTCAAGAGACAGACAAAATCAGTGATCATGCAAACATAGCCATGACAATCCAATGGTATGAAGGAAAAAAGTAGGTATTGGTATAATGCAACAAATCTCAAAGGAAAGAAAAGCCTTTAAGTGACTTAATCCTAATGGTCAGGATAAACACGAGTTAACTAGGCAGTAGGACGTGATAAAGGATCTCTTGGTGACAGAATAGAATGAGAAGCTTCCAGGGAATAGGGCAATAGAGAAAGTTAGTTTAGAATTTAGGAACACTCGGCTTAAAACGAGGCAGGAAAAACCGGCGAGGATCTTGGCCAGAATATTTCTCTAAAATGAAGTGATCTGAATTGTCTTTAAGGATGCCTCCAACTGTTCATGTAGGCCAAACATTTCGCCACCTCTGAGACTGGAGGAACGCCCCGTGCTAATTAACAAACATTAAGCACCAGTAAAGCACTGGTCCGCAGGACACAACCATCTCAGAGAGGATCCCGCGCATACAGTAGCTAGGCAGCATACAGGTAGGCGGACAAGTGTCCACTAAGGCTCCTGCACTAAGCTCAGCACCGAGTGACCCACGTGCACTTTACACAGATCTATCCAAGTGCACGTGTAAAATGCACAAGTGTAAATTTGAAAGCTGCCCCTCAGAAGACGCACGAGCGTTCCAAGGGGCCAGGCCCTCGCAGTCCCCTTCCCTCCACACCCTGTCTGGACTAGCATCTACTCTGCCCCAGTTAGGACTCTGCTCCACAGCCACCGCCGCAACCCCCACTTCTAAACTCACTCGGAGATGTGTCCACGACATGCTGCGGCCGCCACAGGGCCAGCCTCTCTAGCTCACCGCAGACAGCAGCACCTCCCCGCCAGCCGCCAACCCACCAATGGGCGGAAAGGAGGGTGGAGCGAGTGCGTCCGTCGGGAGCTGAGGGAGGTTCCAATTGGATGCTGGTGCGCCTGCGTGCTCCCTTAGGCCACGCCTCTTCCGCCCGTCAGTGTCCCAAAATCCTCTAGTTGCTAGTGGCAGTCCTAAGTTGCTGCGTAGGAAAGCAGTTTGCATCCTAGTTGTTGTAATGCAGTTTTTGCGGGTTGGTTTGTTTTATTAGTGCACGTTTGCAGTACATATCGTGGAGAGTTAGCCCACGTACGTAACACATCCGAGGTGTTTATTCCCTACACCTCGCCTTTCTCAGCTCCTTACAATTCCTCATCTCGTCTATTTACAAAAGCTCTATTTTCATCATTGTTTCAGTTCTTTTTCAATCCTCATTCCTCTGACCTCTGCCTACGTCTCTTGCCTCTCTATTGTTTTAAAAAGAGATTTCCCTACTTCCTATTTATCAAGTATATATTTTTTTAGTTTCTCATGTAAGAAACCAGGTGGTATTTAAGCTGCTGTGTCTGATTTATTTCACTTAATATTATGGTCTCAAGGTGCATCCATTTACCTACTAATGCCTCAAGTTTATCTTTGCTGCAGAATAGTACTTCACTGTGTACATACACTTTCTGTATCCATTCATCCGTTGATGGGAATGTCGGCTCCAAGATTTAGCTATTATAAATTGTGCTTCTGTAGGCGTAGGTATGCATGTGTCACTGTAACATGATGACTTTAACTCTCAGAAAGATAACTAGAAGAGGGATAGCTGGATTAAATGGAATTTCTACTTTTAGTTTTTTGAGGCATCTCAGCACTGATGTCCGTAGTGGTTATACTAGTTCACATCCTTGTCTATAATGTAAAAGGGTTCCTTTCCCTCCACGGCCTTCTAGCATTTGTTATTCTTTGATTCGTTTGTTTATCTGTTTATTGTTTTCTTGGTGGTTTTGTTTTGTTTGTACCAGAGATCGAATTTGCAACGTCACACTTGCCAGGCAGGCGCTTATGCCATAAACTAAATCCCCAGCCCTGTTTTCTTGTTTTTGAGACAAAGTTTCCTTATGTAATTCACACTGGCCTTGAACTCACCGGTAGCTCAGGCTGGGTTCAAATTCATGGCAATCTTTCTGCCTCAGCCTCTAGGGTCCTGGGATTAAAGGTGTGCACCACCACACCTGGCGGTATTCTTGGTTTCTTGACGACTGTTACTCTTGCTGGAATAAGATGGCATCTGGATATTATTTTAGTTTGCATTCCTGTCATAGCCAGCAATGTTAAATATATTTTCATGTGTTTATTGGCCATTTGTACTTCTGCGAAGTATCCATTCACTTCAGTTGCCTATCCTTTCAATACATGCTTTGTATTTTTATTTATTTATTTATTTATTTATTTGGCATCAGGGATTGAACTCACAACCTCAAACTTTTTAGGTGGGCACTTAAGCCAGCCCTATCTTTTCAACTGGATGTTTTATTTTGAGAAAGTATAATGTTTAAAAGATTCTTTATGTAATCTATATGTTAGTCCTCTGAGCAATACCTGGCAAAAATTTTCTCATTCTATTGATTCTCTTCACTCTTTGTTGGTTGTTTCCTTTGCTGTGCTGGAACTTTTTAATTTGAGGTGATCCTAGTTGTTGATTCTTGGTACTATTTCTTGTGCTATTGGAGTTCTGTTCAGAAAGTCTGTGCTTAAACCTGTATCTTTAAGAGTCTTACCTTTTTTGCGTCCAGTATATTATTTTAACATTTAGATCTTTGATCACTTAGATTTTAGCTCAGTACCTAGTAAGATATGGGACTAGACTCTATCTTCTGTATGCAAATATCCAATTTTTTCCTCCCACTATTTATTAAAAAGTCTATCTTTCTTCTAGAGTCCACTTTGTTAAAGATCAAATAGACAAATGAGCCTAGGGTTGTTTCTGCTTCCTCTATTTTGTTTCGTTGATCTACAAGCCTGTTTTTATGCCACTGCTGTGCTGTTCTAATCACAGCTTTTACAGCATAATTTGAAATCTGAGATTGTGATGCCTTCTGCTTGTGTGACCCAGGATTGCTTTTGCTATTCCGGGTTTCTCTGGTTTCATATGAATTTTAGGAGTATTTCCTCTAGATCTGTGAAGAATGATGTTGGTATTTTGATTGGAATTGCATTAAATTACATATCAGTTTTGGAATTATAACCATTTTGATTTAATGGTTCTGCCTATTCAGGAACAGGGAATATCTTTCCCTTTCGGGTTGTCCTCCTCAATTTCCTTTTTCAGAGCAATGTAATTTAGGCATTTAATTTTTCTTGATGCTATTGTAAAATGGTGGTGTTTTTCTAATTTCTTTCACATTGAGTTCATCATTAGGGATGCGATTGATGTTTTGCGTGTAGAAATGTTACTAATTTTGTGTTTATTTTTGTATCCTAAGTTGATGAATTTGGTGATTAATTCTGAATACCTTTTGGTGGGATTTTTGGTTGTAAAAGTACAGGGTCGTGTCATCCACAAATAATACTTTTACTCCATTCTTTCCTGGAGGCCGCTCACCTTGATCCTTCGCAATTTCTGTATTTTGAACCGTCTTTGATCCCTGGGATGAAACCTACTTGACCATAATGTATGATTCTTTTTTTTCTTTTTGCTTTGTTGCCATCTGTTTTCCCAGTACCTTGTTGAGGATATTTGTGTCTGTGTTCTTCACAGAAACTGGTCTATAGTTCTCTTTAGTTGGATCTTTGTATTAGGGTCAGTGCATGGAAGCTTCCAAGGATGATTTGGGGAGTACTCAGTCCCTCTCCATTTCATTATAGAGGGATATTTTTTGGGTGTATTTAACATTAGATCTTCTCTGAAACTCTTGTAGAACTCTGAAGTGAATCCATAAGGTCCTGGGATATTCTTGGTTGTTTTTATTTTTTTAATAACTGCTTCAATTTTATTGCATATTATTGGACTACTGGGATTTTTAAGTCTCCTTGGTTCAATTCTGTTAATTCATATCTCAGAATCTCCATTTCTTCAGAGTTCTCCAAATTTTTAATGTACAGATTTGTGTGAAGTTTGTGCTAATAATCTTCTGGATTTCAGCAGTGTCTCTTATAATTTCACCTTTTTCATTTCTAATAACATTATATATTTTCTTTCCTTTTTGTAAGACCAGCTAAGGGTTTATTTTGTTCTTTCAAGCAAACAGCTCTTTGATTCACTGATTCTTTGTATTTTAGTCTCCTTTTCATTGATTTCTGCTCTGGTCTTTATAATTTCCTTCCTTTTATAAACTCTGGCTTTGGATTGATCTTGTTTTTCTAGACCTTGAGTTGCATCATTAGGTTATTTACTTGGACTCATTCCATTTTTCTGAAACAGAAATTCATAGCTGTAAACTCCCACCATAGGACTGTTATCATTGTGTCTGGTAAGTTCTGATATGTTGCGTTGGTGTTATCATTCAGTTCTAGGAACCATCTTATTTTTCGCTTAATTTCTTCTGTGACTCATTGATTATTCAAGAGTATGTTGTTTAATTTTCATATATTTGCATAATTTCTGTGTTTTATTTCACCATTGATTTCTAGTTTCATTGCACTGTGATCTAACAGTGTTCTCAGGATACTTTCCATTCTTTTACATTTAGTTTAGCATGATTTGTTGGCTAGTATGTAGCCTATTTTGGAGAAGGGTACCATGTGCTGCTAAAAAGAATGTGTATTCTGCTGTTGTGGTGGTTGTGAGGTGGAACATTCCAGGTATCTATTAAGTCCATTTATTCAAAGCTTTGGTTCAACTCTAACATTTCTGGGTGTTAGCTGATCTATTTGTGATAGCATGGTATTAACACCCCCACTACAATGCTATTGATGTTTATCTGATCTTCATGTTCTTTATTGTCTGTTTTATGAAGTTGGATTCTGTATTTTGGTGCAGATGTGTTTATAAGTGTCTCTTCTTATGGAATAGTTCTATTAACCAGTGTATACTTGTTTGCCTCTTTTTATTACCTTTGGTTTAAAACCCATTTCATCTGAAAATAGGATAATTACTCCTGCTTGTTTTCAGACTCCTATTGCATGGAATATTGTTTCTTTTTTAATTTTTAGTTTATGAATTTCTTTTTTAATTAAATGTGTTTCCTGTATACAGCCTATGGTAGGATTTTTGTTTCTTGTTCCATTCTGTTAATCTGTGTTTTGATTGGCAAACTAAGACCATTCATTTTGAGATAACTGATAGATGTTAACTTATTCCCATCATTGTTTAATTTTTACCTGGTATATTCACTTTATTGGACATTTAGACATTGTTAACATCATTTGGTCTCTTTCTAGGATATCATTGAGAACTTTTTGGTGTGTTGGTTTGGTGGTGATGAACATTTTTGGTGTTCTTTACCTTAGAAATATCTTATTTCTGCATTAATTTTGAAAGATAATTTTGCAGGATATATCAGTCTGGGCTTTCAGTTCTTTTGTTTTAGGGCTTGAATACTTCATTGTAGTTCTCCTGGCCTTTCAGGTTTGTGTTGAGATGTCTGCTGTAATTCTGAGGGGGTTTTCTTTATAAGTCATCATTAATTTTTTTTTTTTCGTTTTGAGACAGGGTCTCACTGTGCAGGTCAGGCTGGTCTTGGGCTCAATTTGTAGCCTAGGCTGGTCTCGAACTGTCAACAATCCTGCCTCAAGCTCCCGAGTGCTGGGATTAGTCATCATTAATTTCTCTAACAGATTTTAAGATTCTGTTTTTGTATAGATTTCTGGTATTTTAATTATGTGTGGAGTGTTTTTTTTCCTTCATATCATAGCTACTTTGGGTTCTATGTGCATCACTTATCTGTATGTTAAATTCTATTTCCATATCTATAAGGTTTTCTGGAACTTCTGAAAACAGGTTTTTCACACTTTGTGCTATCTTATAATTTTTCACTAATTCCAATTACTCATTAAGTTAGTCTTCTCTCATTTAGCAGCTATTTGATACATTTTTCATATTACTTTGTTTTTAAGGTAGTTCTCATTAACTGATCACTAACCACAGCTCTGTCTTCTAGATTAGACTCTGTCTTTATACTGA